CAGGTCAAAGAAAAAAGGATTCCGCCAACATTGAGCAATCCATCCAACCTTCTGGGCTGAGGTGGTTTATGTTGTTTCTTTTTCCATGACCATATCCTCCCTCTGGGGGGGTGGGGTCATCCTTCCCTGCGCCCCGTCGCCCTCGGTGTGGAACGGGAGGGGGGCGCAAGCGGTCAGAGCGTCCAATATGAAGCAAGATGGTCCCACGGGAGCTCTCGAGTGCAAGATTGTTTCCAAGAGCGTCCAAGATATCCGAAGATGTCCAATGATGGCGTCCACGATGCCCCCAAAACGTCCCATGCTGGTCCCAAGGCGGCGCCAGGCGGCCACAAGCCTCCTGTGGAGGCCCCCGAAAAGCCCACATATTATCCAACACTAAACTAATCTCGCGAATGCTGCGTTATCGCCCTTTCGCTTCTGATCGGCTGCCGAAGCGTCAATATGACTTGAAGATGTGCCGAGAAAGCTCCGAGAGCCGCCCGAAAGGAGTTACAAGGCTGCCCAAACAACGCTCAAGAGCGCTCCAAGAACGGCCCAATAGGGCCCCAAGAGGCGATCGTAGGTGTTCCTGCTTGGCGACGCAAACAGTGCACCCGCTTAACAAGTTTATCAGAACAACAAGCATGCATTACACTTGTCTCCAGGATCTAGGCTCTTCGGGAGCCCCCTTGGGAAGTTGGTGGCCCAAGAGCGTGCCAAGGTGGGCCCCATATGTTTCGAGCTGCGACCCAACATGGCCCGATATACGAAAGTAGCTCAATGTTGCGTCCAAGATGCCTCCTCGAGGCCTTGTGGTGGCCCTAAGATGGTGTCTGGTTGCCACGGGGACTTTAGGGGAATCCCCCGAAAAACCCAAACCGCTCCCAAACTGAAAGACAACAAAATATTGCAACGCTCTCGCACTTGCGTTTCCGATTCGCTCCCGAAGCCTCAAGACGGCCCCAAAGTGGCTCCAAGATGGCCCAACAACATGCAAATCAGGCCCCAAACGGCTCCAATCCGGTCCCGAGGGCGCCCCAAGGGGGACCCAAGTGACGATTTGTTTGGGGCTCCAAACGGGGCAGCGCTAACGAAGAGCTCCCCCGCTCGTCGGTCGATGCCCTCCTCAGCGACTGCCGCGACATTTCCCCTGCGACTCCCAAAAGGGCCCCAAAAAAAGCCCCAAGAAGATTTCACTGGCACCACAAATGACTCCAAGAAGGTCCCGAAATGCGTCCAAGATGCCTCGAGGAGGCTCCCTGAGCGAACGGCACGCGTCCGCAACAGCCGTGATCGTTGAACCGCCGTTGCAGTCGTCGCCGCAATCACGTTCCCCCTCCCCGATCCTCCCCCGCGTCTTCCTCCTCGTCCGCCTCATCATCCCCCTCCTCCTCCTCCCAAGAACGGGGTCGTGACAAGGTCGTGCCCGTGCGCGTGCGTTGCATTTTTGTCACAGCACATTTGCAAGATAAGTATCGTGACAAGTTCGTTCCCGTATGCGTGTGTAGCACAGCAATCATAGCACACAGGCAAGAGAGGTTGCGTGACAATTTCGCGCCCGTCACTGCCTGCACCCATAGCATATGCATATACATCCTCGTTCCGTTACCCACCCAAACATTTGCAGCATTCTCCGCGTGCCCTAACCTACCACAAGGTAACGAACCATCTACGGTTTATTCCTGGACCTTGCAAGGCTGATCCTCGCATTCCGCGTCGCGGCGTGTCCTCTCGGTCCCGATGCATGCCGATGCACTCCCCTGGCCAGGGCAACTCTGCCCGACATCGTTTCTGGATGGGTGGATCTGATACGCACGAGACATCAGCAATCAAGCCCAATGCGTTTCCAACTCGCCTCCACCATGCGTGTTATAAAATGCATGAACGCCCAAGTACGGTTCCGACTGCCAGCTGGCCCGGCCAATTATACCAAACGAAGACGGAACCCACTAAGTTGCCGAAGTCGTACAAATGACGTTTACGTTCTCGCCCTTTCGAACCAGATGGGCCGCTGGAGCTCGCGCCGGCGCCGACATTACCCACTGCGGCCCCGACAGGAACCAGTGAAAACTCAAATATTGCCCGACAAGTTCCCAAAAGGGCCTCACGATGGTTTCAAAAAGGCGGTTGTTCGGGCTCACGCGGGGGAGGCTTAATTGACGCGACATGTTGTTCCATCGGCGTCCTGCAAGGCTGCCCGAAAACGCCCCCCGCGTCCGCCCAAGGCGTCGAGGAGAACCCACAGGAGGATTCCAAACGATCACCAATCGAGGCGCGCGAAAGCTCCAATATGACTCTCTGAAGCCCAAAAGAGTCTCCGACATGTCAGTCCTCACTATTGGCGTCCGCTCTGTTCCACTGTACGTTTACAAATGTACCCCCTTTCTCCCGACAGCTCGGCTGGGAATCGTGCGCGGATGGGAGGGGGGGGGGGGGGGGGCAAACGAAACGTCGAGAATTCTGGCCTGAACGCGCCCCGCATAAGGCCAGATCATTTGAAAAGCGATTGGAAAAACGAATGGAATGGAGTGGATAGCGGTCCCTTCGGCAGGAAATGCTCGGCGAATTGCATGCGAAACCCCTGCCTCCGTTATCTCCTATTCATATAGGATCCGCTCCCCCTCTTCCTCCCCACTCCCACCCTCCGACTGTTTTCCCCCTCCTCACCCCCTCTCCCTCCTTTTCCTGCCCGTTGCCTCTTCCCCCTCCTGCCCCCCACTCCCAGGGATTACCCTGCATCTAGACGGGAGGGGGGAGGGGGGGGGGAAATGCGAGGAGGGGGAGAAGGAGTGACGCTGAAGCGGTGCTGCGCCACAGGCGCCATGGCGCGCGGGACATGGCGCCCGCGGCCTGGCGCCAAAAGCACGCGCGGCGCGATGCACAAACGCTCGCGCCAAACACGGGGGCACGACAAGTGACGCGCGGCACGGCAGGGCACGCAGGGCACATCGCGCACGGCACGCCGCGCGCGGCGCGTGCCATGGGCACGGCCCGCGCGATCGCTGCGCGCGCGGAGCAGCGCGCAGCACAACGCGCGCAGCGCGCGCGCGCGTTCAGAGACACGCAGCACGCGCACGGCGCGCTGCGCGCAACAAATAATGATTTGGCGCAGCATGCAGGGCCCGCAAGACAACCAGCGTGGCCGACGTCGTTCACGACGGGGGAGGCACGATCCGTGATAAATAATAAGAAGCCTTGCCGAAAAGATGGCGCGCTCCCGCGAGACCTCCCCTGATACTGAAACGAAGGGCGGTTGAGACCGCTGGAAAGGGATTTCGAGTGTCCCTGGTGGATTGCGAAGTTGCCGGCAACGCGCAACGCCCCCCACGGCAAGCCCCCTTGCAGGGAAGGCGCGACGCAATTGACCGCCGCGGCGTGGGGATTGCGCGGCCTCCCTGTAGCGGGAAGCGCGGCGACGCCTCCTCTGCTGGAGCTCCAATGCAAAAGGGCCGACGCAGAGCGGTAGTGGACGACGCCACTCGGGAGATGATAAAAAGGATGGAGAAGTGGGATCACGAGTCTTCCACAACGGAGCCTTCTCGATGCGCGGGGGCGCTCGAACCCTAGATGCGCGCGCAGAGGAACGCCTGACACACGCCCAAAGCATACGCGGGCTTCCGAATTCTGAAAAGCTGCGCGCAAGTGGCCGCTGCGCGCCCTCGCGGACGTCCTATCCGCTTCGCGGGGATGAATGTTGTAAAGTTAGTAATCATATCATGGAGCAGGGCCCGCATGCCTCCCCACCACCCATTTCGGCACACCCCTCATACGCTTCGTGGCCCCATAGGGAGCTCCACCGAAGGCCCCAGCGGCCGCGCTCACATGCGTCCCCGCCACCCATCCCGGCACGCCCCTCACAACAACAGGTTTCGTGGCCCCATAGGGAGCTGCACCGAAGGCCCCAGTGGCACCGCCCGCATGCGTCACCACCCGCACCCAATTCGGCACACCCCTCACACGTTTCGTGGCCCCATAGGGAGCTGCACCGAAGGCCCCAGTGGCGGCGCTCACATGCGTCCCCGCCACACATCCCAGTACACCCCTCACGCGCTTTGTGGCCCCATAGGGAGCTTCACCGAAGGCCCCAGTAGCGGCGCTTACATGCGTCTCCGCCACCCATCCCAGCACCCCCCCCGCAGCAGCATCATGCTTCGGGGACCCATAGGTAGCTCCACTGGAGGCACCAGTCGCGGCCCTCACATGCGCTTCCGCCACCCATGTCGGCACGCCCCGCGAGTGTTTCATGTCCCCATAAGGAGCTTCGCCGAATGCCCCAGTGGCACCCATCTCGACACACCCCTCACACGTTCCGTAGTCCTATGGGGAGTTCCACTGAAGATTAAACCCGCAGCTGCGGTACTGACAACTGCATATGGTTGGATTCTTCGCCAGGCTAATTATTACTTTTTTGGTATCGTCACAATTTGTTTCATCATTTTCTACGAATTATTATTATTTTCAATATTTTCATTTTTTGTTTAAAAAAGGTTCACCATTTTCACTATTGAGTTCACTATTTTTCACTATTTGTCAGCATTTGTTTACCATTTTGTACGATTTGTTTACTATTTTCAATATTTTTTATAATTATTTATTCAATGCTATATGTTGATATGATTGTATAGAAAACAATAGGAGGATATAGTGTTCTATAGTGTTCGCGTTCATCAAAGCACTTCCCATATTTTCCTGAAAACGGCCCCCCCCTCCCTCCCCAGCCTTCCGTTCCCGACGACCCTGGGGCCCGAAGACGGCCCCCGGGAGGCGGGAACAGGCAGAAAACCTTCCCGGACCCAGAACCTCGAACCGAGTGTTACCAGAAGCGCCCCTGGCCCAAGGTGCCCCCAGGATTTCCAGTGAGGCCCCCTCGGCCTCCAGAGCACCCCCCACGAGGCCCGGGGCTCCAGGATTGAGCGAAAAGCAGGGGGGCACCTTGGGCCAGTGGCACCCTTCGCAACCCCCGATGCGGAACCGGTGCTGGGCCACCTCAGACTAGCCAGACGGCTCCAACCCCCTGGCTCCTCGCCCTCGACCAGCTGCCCCGTGGGGTTGCACGGGTTGGACATCAGCAGCACCGAGAGGCCACGGCCTGTCGGTCGAGGAGGGGGGGTCGCTGGGATCTTTGGGGTAAGCCTTGGAGGCGCCCATAATGGGGGTGGCGCGAAGGGGGTCGGCGTACGACAGAGCGGAGGGGCTTCCAAGATGGCAGGGCGGGTTCTTAGGAGCCCGTACGGGATCTAAGCAGGCTTCTTAGAAACTTCTGGGCCCATCAGTGAAAACCCATACCTTCCAAGAAGCCCCTCCGCCTTTTCGATGCAACCTTCATCGCGGCACCCCCTTGTGGGCATCGGACATCGGACATCAGACATTGGCCTGCATCATGCGCCACGTGGGATCCGCAGGGTGGGGCCGAGACGCCAAGCAATCGCACGCAAAACGTGAACCAACTGCTGCCACAATGAGGTGACCATGGTGACCTCTTGTGGACCCCGCCGAACAAAGAGTGGACAAAAACCCGGATTCACAACTCGACTTCGGCTGCACCCTGTGTTGACATTGTCGGTGCATCCTGGGGTTGGGGTCAGAGGAGAAGGCTGGAGCCCCAGTGCGGCTACAAACGTGCGGTGGCCCCCGAAAATCCCCGAAGGGGCCTCGCTGTCCGTCCCTGCACCGCGCTTTGGCACCCCAGAGGTCCCAATCGCCCGACGACGTCCTCGGACCAAGACCGAAGTCCCAAGACCCGGGGGCCACCCGGAACCATCACTGACTCACCACACGGCGTTGTCACCGTACCGCCAGGGGGGGCCCCCGACTGACTGGGCATCAGACTCGCGCTGGGCTCGCTCCCCAGTCAGACTCGGCATCAGACTCGCCTTGGGCTGCACACGCCCTCGCACACCAAGGCGCCCTCCACTCTGGGACAGGTCGGCGGCGCCGAGATGGGGCCTTGAGGGCCGGGGCCCCAAGGACGGGCGGCATCATGGAGTGGAGGCACGAGCTCGGGATCCCTCTCCTGCGCCGATGCGGGGACGGCAAGCGAAGCGACCACAACGGCATCAAGGACACCCCCTGGGGGATGTCCTCGTCATGTCAACAGTCGTCTGAGCACAGAAGCCACCGTTGTGCTTGCTTTGAGGAAAGAGAAACGCCATAAAGATAAACTGTTGGCACTCCGCGCGGATTTCGTGGATCCGCGCCAGGCCACCAGCGCGGATCCAAAAAGTCCGCACGGAGCACTAACAGTTTATGTTTACAGCGTTTCTCCTTCTTTGGAGGTGAAACAGAGATGCTCAAAAAATTACTCAACAATCATCAAAATAGCCTGGCGAAGGACCCGATCATCGTCAGTTCTGAATGCCGCAATGGTGAATACCGCCTCTGGTGGAGCTGCCTAGGGGACTACGAAACGTGCAACGTGCACGCCGAATTGGAACATGTGAGGGGTGTGCCGAATCGGGTGCGGGTACGCCATGTGGACCCTGCCGCTGGGGCCTTCGGTAGAGCTCCCTATGGGGCCACGAGAGGTGTGAGGGGTGCGCCAGATCGGGCGCGGGTACGCCATGTGGACCCTGCCGCTGGGGCCTGCGGTGGAGCTCCCTATGGGGCCACGAGACGTGTGAGGGGTGCGCCGGAGTGGGACCCTGCAGCCGGGGCTTTCTGTGGAGCTCCCTATGGGGTCAAGAGACGTATAAGGGGTGCGCCGAATCGGGTGCGGGCACACCATGTGGACCCTGCCGCTGGGGCCTTCGTTGGAACTCCCTCCCCTTGCTGTGTACATAGATGTATACATATACATATGTATGCACATCGTTCGATGTAATTAGGTTTGTATGTATGCATGCATATACGTATACTTCCATGTTTGTGCGTGTGCGTGTATGCACGTAGGTATGTATGCATGCAGATATGCGTGTATGCGTGTATGGATCTACAAACGTATACCAATTCGCCGGCCCAACGGGCCAGAGGCGTGCCAAGATCTCCGGAAACAAGAGCGCGCGCGAGGCGGCCCCTGGGGGCCCCGACGCGAAGTACCCTGCCAAAGTCCCGGCAAGTGCCTACCAGAGATGCCGGAGGCCCCCCTCGACGCTCTCCGGGGAGCCCTAAGAGGAGCCAAGAAGTCCCCAAGACGCCCCCAAGATAAGACTTGAGGGCTCCGAGATGCCACAAGATCGTTCGAAGACGCCCACCCTGGCCTCCAGACGCCCCCAAAGGTTTCCAAAAGCACTCCCAAGAGGGCCTCAAGAAGCAAAATTAATTGATTTGCCTTCGGCTTTGGATACATTTCTGGGGTTCTCCTTTTCGGCTTCCCGACGCTCCAAGATGGCCCTCGAGGCTCCCAAGATCGCCTCACGAGGGTCCAAGAGGACCCCAAGACAGCCCCAAGACGGCGCAAGATGGTCCCAAGACAGCCCAAGAGGCGCCCAATACGGCCCAAGAGAGCCCCAAAACGGCCCCAAGAGGGGCCCAAGAAGGTGTCCAGGAACCGAACAGTCCAGCCTTCAGCCCCAAGAGGCCCCCAGGAGGCCCCAAGAGGCCCTAAGGGGCCCCCAAGAAGCACCCCAAGAAGCCCCAAGAGGCCCCCAAGAGGCCCCAAAAGGCCTCAACATGGCCCCCAAGAGGCTTCAAAACTGCCTCCCAAAGGCCCCTGAAAAGCCAACCACGAAAACCCAACCAACATCCGTGAGGTCTCGGACCCGCCACCCACCGCCTCCGAAAAATGGCAGGCGCCCAACCGCACCGCATTGACAACAACACCCCGACAAACGACAGCGACGAGGCAATATGGGCCGGCGGAATGAGCGAAGCGATCAGATTATATGCCGGAAACCCAGCACCAGGGAACAAAAAGGCCTCAGAGACAACCCCCGAGGATCGCGTGGACGGCGCCAAGGGGCAATCCTTCTGCGTTTTCCGAAGGTTTCGGGGGTTTTCTGCTCCCGCCACTTCGGGCCTACAACGGCCCATGATGGCCCTGGGGGCTTCCCATATCGCCCTGCACGGTCCAGAAGGGTCCCAGGAGGGCCCCCAGACGGCCCAAGAAGGCCCGTAGACGGCCCAAGAAGGCCCCAAGACGGCCCAAGAGAGCTGCAAGTGACCCCCAAGTCAGCCCCAACCAGGCCCCAGATCCCGCCCGAGCGGGCCCAAAGCACCTCCGAAACGGCCGGAGACCCCCAACATGGCTTCAAGACGCCCGAAGAAGGGCCCCAGATGCCGCCGAAGAGGGCCCAAAGCGACCTCCGAGACGGCCCGAGACCCCCAAGATGGCCCCAAGACGCCTGAAGAAGTCCTGGACACGGTCTCAGAGGGCCTCAGCCACGGCCTCCGAATCCCAGGACTTTTCGCCGATTCTAATTCCACCTTCCCATCGACCTCTCCTCCCTTCTGGAAACTTCGACACGCCTCAGAAAGCATTGGGTTTTCGCTAATCGGGCCCAGCCTTGGCGCGATTAGCGCTGAGACTACGATGGCTGGCTTTGCGTGTTACATACCATGATCTTATAATAATGCAGGGGTTTATGCCAAGTTTATGTCAACTCAGGAATGCCACAAAAAGCGTCCTCCGCAACGCATAACTTCGAAAGGATCCCAACATGTTCATTGCGCACGACAGTAGGCATGCACGAGTATCACCGTTGTTCTTCGCTCACCTCGACGAGATTATCCCGTGCGCGCTAAGATCTCGTCGGCATTTTCTCACGTGCGAAAGGATCTCGACCATGCGTTCGCTGGCACGCGGGGATCTCGACATCGATTGTCTGGCAGTCCCGCCAGCCCTTTCGGCAACAGACGGTCGAACGTCTAACGACGTCTTGCTTCCCCCCCCCCTCCCTTTTTTTTGTCGGGGGGGGGGGGGGTCGCAAGGTGTCAGGGGGTCCGTTTTCGCCCAAGATGGCTCCAAGAGGGCCTCCGAAGCTTCAAGATGGCCTCCAAGATGGCTCAAGGTAACGCAAGATAGCTAGATAGCTCAATATAACCTACGTCATGCCTCCAAGAGGCCCCAAGATGGCCACATGACTGTTTCAAGTGCTCTCGGAGACCCCTCAGGACCCCTCCAATATCCAAGAGGCCAAAATCTTCCAAAAACCGAAGGAACAATTATGATCCTCTTCCGACGCGCGTTTGAGGCGTCCAGATGGCCCCAAGATGGCCCAAGAATGCCCCAAGAGGAGCCCAAGAGGCCCTTAAGACCTCAAGACGGCCCCAAGACCCAAGACCTAAGAGCGCCGAAGAGCGCCCGAAGGCCCCAAGAGGCGGTGTTGATGGCCACACGGGGGGGGGGCGCAGATATGGGATATGGGAACAACATTTTTTGTTCGATGACCTCCCAGATGACCTCCAAGATGGCCCCAAGGTGCCTTCCATGGCCCCCAAGAGGGCCCCAAGAGAGCCACAATAATGCCCAAAGAGACCCCCCCCCCCAAGAGCGCCAAGAGGACCCCAAGACCCTCCAAAAGAGCTCCCCCACTTTGGTCCACTATACACTATATCTGTCCCTTCTTGCCAGTTTCCGTCAGCTCTCATGGGCAGTGCTTCTGATTGGGCTGGCGGCTGGCGGGGTTCCGCGGTTACGCGAAGGGGTGTGCCGAAATTCGTGCGGGGCCGCTACGCGGACGCTGCCATCGTCGTCGTCGCCGTCGTCGTCGCGTCGACGTCGTCGTCGTCGTCTTCGCTCCCTTGCGCTGCTTCAGGCGCCAAGGGGTCCCTCCAGGGGGCCGAAGACGACGACGACGACGACGGCAACGAAGGCGACGACGATGACGATGGCGACGGCGGCGGCGGCGGATCTCCTCCGTCCTCAACCCTCAACCCCGAGCTTCCTGTATGCTGTATGTATGTATGTATGTAGGTAGGTAGGTAGTATATAGGTGTGTAGGTATGTAGGTATGTAGGTATGTAGGTATGCAGGTATGTATACATGTATGCATACATGTATGTACATTTGTATGTATGTATGTATGCATGCATGCATGTATGTATGTATGGATGTATGGTATGTATGGGTGTAGGTATGTATGTTTGCATGCATGTGTGTATGTATGTGTGTATCTATGTGTGTATGTACGTATGCATGTATGCATGTATGCA